ACTTCAATGGGATACAATTAAGGATATCTTCTGTTTTAATGCACAAGACGTTATTGATTTCATCCAGTCAAATGACCAAACAAAACGTTGTGTTTTAAAAGCTGCTTCAAAAATCTTCGATCCTGTTGGGTTTCTTGCTCCATATGTTATTCAAGCAAAAGTTCTGTTTCAGGATTTATGGCTGAAAGGTGTTGATTGGGATGAAATTATCCCACCAGAATTGCAAGACTAGTGGAGCAAATGGTACAGGCAACTATGTGATCTACCTAATATCCAGATACCTCGGTGGTATTTTCGTGATGTTGATGAAACACCTGAAACACTAGAACTACATTGTTTTTGTGATTCATCTCAAAGTGCTTACGGAGCAGCAGTGTACGTGAAATTCCGTAGCTTAAAATATTGTGGAACAAGTTTAGTGATAGCCAAGAGCAGAGTGGCTCCCGTGAAAAAATTATCTTTACCAAGACTCGAGCTCATGGCAGCAGTGTTAGGTGCAAGACTTGTAACTACAGTCCGTGTGCATTTTCCTCAAGCTAAGATTCATTTATGGACAGGTTCTCTTATTGTGCTTCATTGGATAAAAAAACTCACCACGGCGAGGAAAACATTCGTACAAAATCGAGTGTCTGAAATTCAAGACAAAACATCTCCGTGCATGTGGCATCATTGTCCTGGCTCAGATAATCCAGCCGATAAAATTACACGTGGTGTTAAAGTGAGTGATCTTGTAGTAGATCAAGTGTGGTGGCATGGACCTCCATGGCTTCATCAAGATGAAATAAATTGGCCTAAAGTGAACAAGCATTGTAACAGTAGATAGTGTTGAAGAAAGAGTTGTGACTCAAGTTACTAGCAGTGTTCAACCTTTACAACCTGTGTTAAAAATAGAAAACTTTAGTGACTTAGGTAAACTTTTAAGAGTCACGTCATATGTATTTAGATTCATTAATAATTTAAAGTCACAGAATAGAGTGATTGGTCCTGTGACCAAAAATGAAATATGTAATGCTATGTGTTATTGGATTATCTTATCACAAGGTGAGTATTTTTTTGAAGAGTTGAATGATGTTAAATGTAAAAAACCATTGTCTCATAATTCCAAATTGTTTGGGTTAAATCCAGTAATGGATGAAAAGGGTTGTTTAAGAGTTGGAAGTAGATTAGTGAAATCATCATTAGATGTCGATGAAATTCAGCCTATAATATTACCAAATAATTATTTTTCTCGTTTAATTATTTTGAATTGTCATGAAAAGGTACTTCATAGTGGTGTAAATGAAACTTTAGTGCAAGTAAGAGGGAAATTTTGGATTTTAAAAGCTAGACGTTTTGTAAAATCTGTGTTACATGATTGTAGATTTTGTAAAAAATATAATGCTAAAGCTGGACACGAGATATCGGCTCCTCTTCCAGCTGACCGAGTGGAGAAAGCTCAACCATTTGAGGTAAGTGGCATAGATTTCGCTGGCCCTTTGTATTTAAAGGATGGTACAAAAGTGTATATTTCATTGTTTACCTGTGCAGTGACTCGAGGAGTCCATTTAGAATTGTTATCAAATTTAAGTGCAGAGTGTTTCATTCAAGCCTTACGTAGATTTTTTGCACGTAGGGGTATTTGTAGAGTTATATATTCTGATAATGCTAAAACCTTTAAGACTGCTGATCGTGAATTAAAATATTTGTATAAATTATGTAAAGATGAAAAGGTTCTAAATTTCCTTGGTAAAAATGGGTTTGAATGGAAATTTATTGTAGAAGGTGCTCCTTGGTGGGGCGGATTCTGGGAACGTTTGGTAAGATCTGTAAAAACTTGTTTAAAACGTATCTTAGGTAAAGCTTCTTTATATTATGAAGAACTGTATACTTTTTTTAGTTTAAGTTGAAGCTGTTATTAATTCTAGACCTATAACGTATGTATACAATGAACCAAATGAACCTGATCCTCTTTCACCATCTCATTTTATAACTGGATCTAGATTGACTGTTTTACCTTCACCTGAATCTAAACTAGAATCTACAAGATCTCAGTTGATTAAAAGATGGAAGCATAGGCAATTAATATTAGAGCATTTTTGGAAAAGGTTTTATAAAGAATATTTGTTAGAATTAAGATCAGTCATGTTTTCAAAAACTCCAAAGAATTCTCCTGTGTTTAAAAGTAATGATGTTGTACTTGTACGAGAAGGTAATGTGAAACGCTGTAACTGGAAGATAGGTAGGATTAAGGAATTATTTCATGGAAGAGATGATAGAATTAGATCTTGTGAGATTCAGTTGGATAAGGGTGTTGTTAGAAGACCAATTGTTTAGGATTGTGTATCCATAGATCGCCAATAGATGGCGGTAGTGTTTGTTTGTAAAAAGAAACTGTGATGTCAATTATGTATATGTATCAGTTCGTCTTTGGTGTTCGTGAATAAATGTTGTGTGGAAGAACGCTCCTCTGTTTATTACTTTAACTGCGATCCAGTCTGTTTATTAGAGATTACAATTTGTTACTACAAAATCCAAACATCCTGATCGTCCAGAATATGCACCACACAATAGTCCAAACTTCACTACTCAAGTACCTAAAGAAAAAAAATGGCGATAAATCAAACCATTTCGCATAATACAAGTTTAAAGTTATCTATCCGAAAGAAATAGTTTTACACCAACAAAATAATTTTGTTACTACTCTGATTGGGTATACCTTTTATTACATAATCAGAATTGATGAATCATCAACAGAAACGCGACTGGCTATTTCACGATGGCAATAAATTCGGAAAGGGATTCACAGGTTTAAGTGTCGTTTAAGTCCAGACATAGTCTAAATGAACTGCATTTTTTTCTACTTAGCACGATATTGCTTGCATAATCAGAACAGCTTAGCTTAATAATTTGTTTGTTTAAACATTTCGAAATCTGTTTATCAATTTCATGCTGCTCCGCGGAGGGAAAACGTGGCAGCGCGCAATGAACTGGAAGTTGATCTGTCAGCACTATCGTCATCTTCAGGGCAGATGTTTTTATTTTATTCAGCTTATAATTCCTTACTAAGTGTAGTATTTCATCTCGATGTACTTTGTCTTTGACATGATTTAAATCAATTTCCTCATCATTATAAATATCACGAATACGCATCAAATAGTTTTTTGGTTGCAATTTTCTAATTTCGACTATGCGTAATGTATGCTTTACCCATGCGTGTGTTGAAAGAAATGTTTAATAAAGTAAACAAATAAATATTAAGCTTTTTTTTTTTTTGTAAAATTTGATACCCTTTATTGATTGCTCTTTATTTCATAAATTACGGTTTCATATTTTTAATTGTATAATTTCTGCATGCCATCTTAACAGATTTAAATTGATTATCTATAATTCAGAAAAAACCCTAATCCGGAATCACCGAAGTCCCTACGAGTCCGGATTACGGACTTTGTACTGTAGTAGTTTCACAACACAGAACAGCATTCATGCTATTAAATTTGATGAAGACGGAATTCTTTAGGGGTAGCCTTTTTTTTTCCCCCTACCATAAAATCAATACACTTTATATATGTCTCTTTCAAAATACTCCTTTTTAATAAAACTTTCCTTAAACATAAACTCCTTTTTTAATGGATCAACCTTTCCAGAATTACTAATAATTCTTCCAGCCTGCATAAAAAAAAAAAAAAAAAAAAAAAAAAAAAATTAATCCCAAACACTAATCTTGAAGATTACGGCCTGTGAAATTAACCTGTCCTCTAACACAATACACAAAATTTGGTGTACATGTACATTCCATTTTACCTATCCTCCAATTCCAGGTATGAGATAGTAAAAAATCCAGAATTCCGGCTATATTGAGACTAGTCAACCCTGCCTATATGTAAAACTTTAATAAGAATTGTTACATAATATGAAAGGTGAATTAGGAGGTGAAATTTTTACAAAATGAAAATAACAGCAACATAAAATTCTTTAGGACGTTAAAAGAAGCTAAACTACGGCAACTTTCAGATATGACAATTGAGAATTGTTTTCTTTCAAAAAGCATTCTCATAATTTGATAATTTCTGCAAGCTAACTTCGATGCCATCTAGGTTATCAGGTGCTATAACAAATATTTGAACTAATCAATAAAGTATTTCACATGTACAGATTTGCAATAATGAATTTCAAATTTTTTTTTCATCAAAATAAAAAATTGGGAAAAATTACATAACACAAAAGCTACATGAAGAGTTTATCAGTACACGGAACAGGATCTCTGTCCACAACTGCTCATTAAAGCTGAGATATGACAACAAACTATACCGGGAACATTCAAAGAAACATATATAAATTTTTGGCTAATCTTTGGAATATGGTAACAGGTAGTTTGGCGACATTTTGGTAAGGCAATAAAGGTTACTAGCTAGAACATTAGCAGTGTACATGGATAAAGTCAAGAGTGTGCGCAATGCCATTTTTGTGCAATTCTGGGATGTTTTTTTAAATGAAAATAGGTCGACGTGTACATGGATACTGTGTATGTGCAATTCTTAAAAACGCGGCACGCAGTTTGCGATTCTGCACTTTCTCCCAATTTCACACCTAATCTTCGTCATGATTAAGCACTTTTGTTCTATAAAAGTTCTAGCATAAGCGTAATTCGGCTAGTAGACTTTTGGAAAAAATGTTGAAGAAAAAAAAAAAGACATGCCTTTACTTTGTGAAAACAAAATGGCGTCCAAACAAAAACTAGCAAGTTGCTGTAGCAGGGTTGGTCGCCAAATTTTCGCGAAAAAAATCGCCAAGTTACCATAATTCAAAGATTAACCATGCCATTAATTTTCTTTTCCCTCTAAATTATCCATTATAAAAGTCGCCACAAAATAATCTGTGACTGGAACTGTGTACTTCTCAAATTATTGCTAAAGTCCTAGCTAGTAACCTTTATCGCCAAACTACCTGTTACCATATTCTAAAGATTAGAAAACACAAGCAGCTATGAAACACAAGCAGCAGAAACTGTTTTTGGTACTTACGTATTATCTCATTGACCATGAAACACTGTCAGCAAGCAATGCGATTAAGCACCAAATATGAAAAAGCTTGACTTGAAACACACAGCATCAGCATTTTGATTGGATGTAAATCTGACAGATTCCCAATAAGCCACATTTTGTTCCTATGAAGATATAAATTAACTATTTATTGCTGTATTTTTCCATGGCATTTTAAAATTTTAAGATTAAAATTTTGCAACTTCATTTTAAGGTGTCAGATTTTTTTTTTTTTTTTTTTTTTTTTTTAAATCCAGGATACAGCCATGGCATAATTATGAAAATCGCTCTTTGAAAAGAAAACTTGCACAACTAAAAAATTTCTCATTTTTATGCATTGCATGAAAAATATAAAAGCATCCCTGAGATAGTTACATCAACTTGAAAATTAAGAACCTATTTAATCCAAAACCTTGTCCCATTATCATTATTGATTTTAAATATACTTTTGGTACTACTCTTATTGCGCCCTTTCCGTGTGCCAAGAATGGAAAACATTTCATTAAAAAATTTCGTAGCATCAGTTTGACGCCCCTTGGATGCTGTGTTCAGGGACAGATGTCCCCCCTTGCCCTACCTAGGGCCACTGACGACCTCAGATGTATGGTGTCCCCAAGTGTGGAGAACTTGATGATTGGTTGGTTTGGTGGGCATTTTGAAATAACTTATGTTGCAATGAAAGACATCAAAGGCAAAATTTTAGTCGCGTATTTTAGATTGTGTGCAAGATAAATTTAGTATTAAAAAGTACAGATAAAATTTTATTCACAAATTTATGCTGGAACTTGTATGCTCCGTATCTCAAAATATAGGGAGGAAGGATAAAATGGTGGAAATTGACGAGTTTTGCTGATGTTTGAAATTGATATTTCTGCTGTGTGATGAAACATTCACAATGGCAAGTGCATTTTATTTCATTGTTGTTCTTATTTTGTAGAATGTTATGTTCATTGTTTTTTTGCTATGAAGTTCTGCCGCTATTGTTGTTTTTTGAATTGTTTGTAATTTATTTTAGTTTATTTTGCTGATTTATGCACAATGCCTAGATTGTGCAATTCACTGTTTTTTTTTTTAAGTTAAAACACAATGCTGTGTACATGGTATTGTTTGAAATTTATTGTTGTTAGTTTATTTTAGCGAGGTGTGTGCTATTCCTAGATTCTTACGCTGCACAGATTGTGCAATTATCTTTTTTTTTTTTTTTTTTTTAAAGTTAAAACAGATCGCTGTGTACATGGATTCTTGTCAAATATTTTTGGTAAGAAACTTTGTTTCTACTATCTAAATTTTTTGTTTTTGTTTCGGATTTTCGGCATAAATTGTATGCTAAAAATGTGGTTTTTGTAGGCATTTTCGGCTTAAATTTTGACATGTAGACAAAAAAATTTAGATAATAATATAAATTATAGCACCCTGGATAAAATTTAGATAGCACCATGGAGTTTCTCGTCAAAACTTTTTGGCAAGAAATCTGGGTTGATCTTTATATTATGGTAACTTGGCGATTTTTTGGCGAAAATTTGGCGACCAACCTCCTACAGCAACCCTTTTTTTTTTTTTTTTCCCCGCCGCCATTTTGTTTCACGAGTAAAGACATGTTCTTTTCTTTTACCTATGAACATTCTTTAACAATCTATACGAATTACATTGCTAGAAATTTCACTAACAAAACCTTAAGCATGGACAAATATTCACGCAAAATTGGAAAAAGTGCACAATACCATACTCTTACGGTTTTCAAAATAACACATACACTAAACATGTACACGTCGACTAGTTTACTTAAAAAAACCCAGAATTGCACAAAAATGCAGGCGCACACTCTTCACTATATCAGACACGCTTTTTTAAACTTAGAAAATTTCACGAAAATGCCTACATTTTCTGAAATCTTTAAACCCAGAAAAGAAATATATGAAATTACCTGATCGTGAAAAAAAAATATAAAGAGAAAAAAAATAACAATTCCAAAAATTAAAATTAATTATCTTTTTACATAGTCACAACTATTCATACCGCAAACATTTACGAATGGTTACAAATACTTAGTGTCAAATATTTAAATTATTCCATGCACGTTTACGCAAATTACTTTAATTCCATTACATTTAGAACAATGCATAAAAATAATATCTCAAATAATTAAAACTACTAACTTACCTAATCTTCTTCAGAACTTGATTCGTGGCGATAAAATTTTCTAATTTCTGTGTCAGGATCTTAAAAATAATACTTTTATACTTCACAGCAAGGTCCCAGGTAAAATAATAACTTATAAAACATCTTTACTTCATCTCACACAAATTATAAGAAAACTTATTACTACCCCTTTCAATCCACGAAATACCATTTGTAAACTAAATACCACTTAGTTAGGGCCTGGGATGCAAAAATTACGAACATGTTCACCAAACAGAATAAACCAAAACAAAATTCAGAGTTTCCGATTTCCCCTTTTCCGATTAAAGAACGTTAATTGTCCATTAAGATCACATGACATATCCCATGATCTTAATCCCTCAACAAAACTAATGCGAATCGGAACTGAGTACTGCTCACATTATTACCAAAGTCCCAGGTAGTAACCTTTATCACCTCCAAAATGTCACCATATTCTAAAGATCAGCCGAAATCTGTCACCAACCGAAGGTGTGTATAAGAGTAGTTCCATACTTTTTTTTATAGAATAAAAATACTTTTAACTCTGAGTTTCCAACTATCAATAATTTGATACAATTTTTCTTGGATTATTAATACGATTTTCCTTTAAACATGCAGTTAGCATTCAATTTATACATGTAATAAATATTGTATGTGTGTGTGTATGTGTCATTCAACAGCAATATGCAGATAAAACAACAGCTAGATACTTTAATTATTGTTCTGTAAAAAGCAGTATGTAAAAATAGTTTTTCTTTTCCTTACAAATGGAAATGAACAGTTTAAATAACAAAACTACAAAAGAATGGTGAGTTTAAAGTACTCCAGTGTCTCCCAAAGTTTCTCACATTGCGACCCACATGCATATAATTGCGAATTACAGGCATATTCAATTACAAATAAATAATTATTATTGTGTAATAAAACAGAAACAAAAAAACCCTGCAATTGTTCACGACTCGCGGTTAGTTCACGATCCACTGCTGTATATTTAAGATTCGGATGAGTATTTAATGTACTAATCGAACTATATTAGATTATCCAAACTTCCCATCATATGGGATATAAAAAAAACTTCATGAATAATAAAATAAAATATCAAAAACCACATAAGTTATTAAACAAAAACAAAAACAACAACAAAAAAAAAAAAAAAAGAAAGAAAAAAAAAAAAAAAAAAAAAAGAAAAAGAAAGGAAAAAAAAAAAAAAAAAAGACCAAATAATCAGAAACGAAACTTTTAAAAAATGTAACGTCTCGGTTCCATGCGGAACGCTTAAGGATAATACATGTTGAAATCAATTATAATATTTTTATCGCAATAAAAGTTTTCCGTTTTATATACATAATTATTATCGTCTTTGAAGAGAGACTAGTAAATTTACCTGCTCGGTAGCATAAAGCTGCGCGTACTTCTCGTCATAACAACAATTGCACGATAACATTAAATGCAGACTTGATCCTTGCTTTCCTCCAGCCTGAAATTTCGCCATACTTTACGCCAAAGGAACCTCATTTTCCCGCCAGTTTCGTATTACGTGTTTAAAAAAATCTGTGATGTGAAACTTGAATGTTTGTTTTTTATTAGATTACGGCAAAGCACTCGAGCGCTATCTGCCTTAAGGGAGGGATGCCTTCGTGGAGGACTTTCTAAGGGAAACTGGCTCGTATACACGTTACACATGGGGAAAACCACGAAAACGCAAATGCAGCCAGCCCGTTCGCGGGATTCGAACCTCGAACCGAACTACCAGTGTTCAGCGACGTTACCGCTCGGCCGCTGGTGGGCCTGCGAAACGTGAATGTTATGAGAAATTACGTGCAAGTAAACCGTATTTTTCTATTTACAAAGCTACAAATTATAATGAATCGGCTACTATTTATCTAAATGAATGACTAAAAATCCCAAGTTGGAATTTGAAAACAGACTATCTGGGAAATCTTCCAGTTGTAACTCAAGATTATCTGAAAACATTTCACTGAAAATGAGGGTGCGTTTTCGGGTCAAGCGCAGAATTGCCCACTTATTTGTTTGGCGCTTTTTACAAAAGTAAGAAGAATTGGATTTTTGTCAATTTTCTTTGACTTTTCAAGTGAAAATAGGTCGATGTGTACATGGATAAAGTCAAAGGAGTGCGCAATGCCATTTTTGTGCAATTCTGAGTTTTTTTTTAAAGTGAAAATAGGTCGATGTGCACATGGATACACAGTATGTGTAATTCTTAAAAACGCCCAAGCAGTGGGCGATTCTGCACTTTCCCCGCGTTTTCTTATAAGTCATGCACAGTCTTCATAAGTAACTTGCCTCATTGCTTTCAAGATTTAAAAATTTTTAACTGCTTCTGCTTTATGGCAACTTTATGCACTAAATGACTCGTTTACTGCCTGTCATAATGTCGCCAAATCCCATGTGTTCCGTATACTAGGAATAAACCAAAAAATACTCATAAACTAAGTACGCACTAACAGCCAAGGAAATTCTTATTACTGATCACTCATTTTCTTACCAATGCTTTGTTCTTTTTCTGAAATAATTTTAATATATTTGCTATGTGATGAAAGGTAACCCTTAAATCTTTGCGCATCCGCAGTAGAACTGTTATCCTGGGGGGGGGGGAGGAAGCGACTGATAAAGTTTGCATTTAAACGTCGCAAGGCAGACTGCTGCCATTGTGTGAAATGTAACTAATCAAATTTGCTTTTACTAAGAGCATATAGTGAATTTGAGTTTCAGAAAGCAGCGCCTCCTTACGTGAAGAACGTCAGTAAAACAAAAAGACGAAAGTAAATTTGCTATTGAGGCCACTTGTAAATTATTGAAGCTAGTTCTACAACTACTAAGAACACATAATGAATTAGAGTTTCAGAATGCAGTGCTTTCTTTTACTCTGCATCAAGTGAAGAACGTTAGAAAAACAAACTAAGCAGTGTGGACAAAATAAAACGAAAGTATTAAATCAAGTGGCCGCCGTCAGTCGACGAAAAATGTGAGTTTCTAGTGGAATGTCAATATAGAAAAGTCTAGAGTAAAAAATGTTAAGGATGGAGAATGCTGGATGGATCTATTAGGAAAGTATGAGAACTTGATGATAGAATTGCTGTCAACACCTGGAGCATTTTGGGGTTTTAAGGAGGTGATGAAATCTGAAATCAGCAGCCCACTTAGGCCTGGCGAGGAATGTAAAGATCAAAGGACCAGGGATTTTTTAGAAGCTATTAACACACACAGATCGTATTTTATTCTCGAGTGTCAAGATGTAGAAACATCTTTTTTACTCGACTTCTGATAAGAATCGGGGATGAGGAGAAAGAGCAGTGTGGAAGGAAGTGTGGGAGGCGCAAAAAGAGAGTCAGGTCCACGCTAGAGGCGGCGAAAAAGGGGGGTAAGTTCAGTGTCGTTATAAGATGTAGCCGCGGGTGGTAAACCGCAGAGTCCCGAATCCCGTCATGGACGCAGAGAGTGACGGTCGAGTGGCTACGAGCTCTCTGAGCTCCACAGCGACTTTGTTGGAAACACGAATTCGGCGCCGCCAGTGAGCAATTTTACTTCGTCTGATATCAACCAGCTATTACATGCTACAACTTCTATTACCGATATGGACACTACTGCACCACCTCAGTGATTTACTTCACCTGAGGATTTCTCGAGAAATGCGATTCAAATTTATGCTCTCAAAAATCGTCATACGGACCTGAATGAGAACCGAGAATCCAAACAAGGTGGCCATGTTCAAGCAACTGAACCAAGAGGGTGAGAAACTTGTGTTTTCCTTGCAAATTTTGTGTACGAGCCATAACTTGAACATTTTAGAAATTCCTACCACTGAAGAAGAATTCCTCAAAATTTGTACATCCCACCAGACCAAAAATTCGGATGCCAAAAACCCTGTTTTTCAAAATTCTGAAATTACCAATAATTCACCTAAGCCTATTCCTTCTAAGAATACTCAAAAAACGGACACTAAAAAACGCATTCGCCCGGTCGACTCAGACGGGTTTTCTATTCCACGCAAACATCTTATCGCCAAAAATATCCAATCAAATAACCAAATTAATGTCAATAATAACTTGCCTAGCACTTCTAATTCATTTAATAATATTCAGCACACCACAGAAACCATAGAACCACCCATTCAGCAGCCGGCTGTCAATCAAGAGCCAAAAATTCAGGTTCCAACCCCTATATTCATCAAACCAAGAGCTAACTGGTATTTTCTCTTAACCCAGCTCAAAAGACACGCTTCTTCTGTCCAGTCAAAACATTACATTGATTTCTTAAGACTCACTACTGCTAATGAAGCAGACTACAAAACAGTAGTTATATTTCTAACTGATAATCGTATAGAATTCAAATATCACACACTCAAGTCAGAAAGACCACTGAAAGTTGTTATCAGAAGACTTCCCTCTAACACACCTATCAGTGTTGTACAGACTGCGGTGGAAGTACTTGGTTATAAAATACATAAAATCTCTCAGCTCAAGAGATGGAAAACCAGGATGCCTATGCCACTCTTTTACCTGCAAATTTATAACAGCCTTAAAACCGATGAAATTTACAACGTGACGGAACTACTAGGCACCGAGGTAGCCATTGAACACTTCAAGGGACAGAAAGGGCCATCCCAGTGCTGGCGTTGCCAGGGCTCCTTTTACTCTACCAAGACGCTGTGTTCGATGTGCACGTCCCCATGAGGCCAAAGATTGCACAAAACCCTATGATGAGCCCATGAAGTGTGCCAACTAGCAACGACAGCATGCTGCGAATTGACGATCCTGTCCTAGATTTCCTGAATCTAAGAAGAACTCTGCAGCCAAAACAAGTACCAAACCCAGTCCGACCATTGGATACTCACATCAATACTAATACTCATAAAGCTTTTCCTACACTAGCGGCTGCACCCACACCCAAATAATATTCGCCCTGGAGTTTCATTCTCCTCTGTACTTACGGGTATGCAACAGGCTGCACCCCAATATATTCCAAATTATTCAGTCCCACAAGGAGCAAATTTAGCCCTAAATTGTACTGAAATTCTTGTGGCAGTAATTCAAATTTCTAATCAACCTGGTATTGATCAAAATAGATTAATGTTAGCGTTTAGAAACGCTCTACCTGAGCTCAGACTGGCTCCATCTGGTGCTGATGCTGCTTACTACATCTTTGAGAGTTATGTTACTGTCCAATTCTCAGAAAATCCTCAACATTAAAATTCAATACTTTGAAAGGGTTGAAACAACTACAATTATGCACCTGGAATGCAAATGGCATCTGAAATAAATTCCATGAGTTCAGAGATTATGTAGCAGAGAAGAATTTTGACATAATTTTTGTCCAAGAGACCAAACTCCAACCAGGTAGAGCTCCCAAGCTTGCAAACTATGCCTTATAAAAAAATTACAGACAAGTTTCAGATTCTCATGATAGATTTCATGGTGGCACATGTGTCTATATCAAAAATAATATACCTCATAGACGAATAGACACCCTCCGAGTTTGAGCAAACTCGAGGCAACGATTATTGAAATTTTTATTCAAAATTCTCCCTCCCTTGTACTGATCTCTGCCTATCTTCCCCCAGGAGGTAAATTACCTGTGGAAGATTTTAATAAACTGCTCACTATTTCCAATAATTTGATTATTGCTGGTGATTTAAATTGCCACCATCAGCATTGGCGTTGTCGTAGATCAAACTCTGCTGGTCGTGGCTTCCTAAATTGGGCTCAGTGCGCCCAAATTAAAATTATCTCGCCGGAATCCCCTACAAGATATGATACACGGGCAGCCCCTTCATTCATTGATTTGGCTCTATTTCGAAACATTCCTTTTGCATATAACGTGACTGTGGAAAATTGTTTATCCTCAGATCACAGCCCCGTGATCATTGGCCTTAACTGTAATCTTATTAATCAAAATTCTCCGGCACTCGTCTTTACAAATTGGGACAATTTCAGATTTAAACTTAAAAATAAATTTTTACCCTACCTCGAAATAAAATCCAGCCATGATATCGAAACGGCAGTTGATCAATTAACGACCACTTTAACACATACTTATAAAAAAGTATCAAAACCCACCCTCAGTCCCAATTTTCATAAACTTCCTCCTGAAATTAAATTCAAAATCAAAGAAAAGAATAAAGTACGAAGACTTTGGCAAAGATGTAGGAATGCTAACTTAAAATTACAATTTCGTACTCTCCAAAATGAGATCAAGGCATCATGTGACCAATTCTACCAATCACAATACTCGAACTACATTCAGTCTTTAACGAACAATGACCACAGTCTTTGGCGTGCATCAGCCAGACTACGCAAACACAAATCACACATTCCGTCCTTAGCTAAGGACGCAATGGTGGCTCATACAGACACCAAGAAGGCAGAATTAATTGCTGACTGCCTCCAAACTCAATTCACACCACATAATGAAGAGATTTTTGCGAACAACGCTAATTCTTTCCAACAAGATGTTGAACGCTTCCTTTCCTCTCCTTTTACGAGAGA